CCCCCCCCCACCCTCCCCTGCTTCTCCGAGTTAGGGAAGAGTCAAATTCTACACACTGTCCAGACTGAAGTTTGTGCAAAAGGTAGACCCAGCCCAGGGCTAACTAGAGAGGAGCTTGAAGCACAGCCCATCTTCCCCTGAGTGCCTTTGTTTGACTGAGAAAGTACTGTGACTTTGGCAGCTGCAGTAAAAGGGGAACAGAGCCCCGTGGGCAACAGCTGTATTTCCCTCTACAACCCAAGATGGATTCAGTGGCAGCACAGCGCCCAAGGCCAGAGATTCCTTTCTCTCTGAGACTGTCTGGGCCCAGGGACTTGTTAAGACTAAGTTAGCATATTGATTGCAGGAGTGGGAGGCTGGTTAAGTGGGAAGTCGCTGCTCACCTGCCCAGGAGAGCCTGGCATTGTTGGCCCCTGTCATATAGCTGCTAGTCACTGGGCTCTCTCTAATGAGTCCTGGGGAGAGCTGAACATCTGGGTGGTGGCCTCAGAGAGCAAGGTGTGAATTGGGGGTTTGCCATGTGGATTGAGAGCTGAGTTGTGAGTACCTTATAGGACAAGAGCAACTGCCTGCAACCTATCCCAGGTTCTTGCTTCAGTGCCAGGAGCCACACAGGCCCACCACAAGCTATCTGGGTGCCTGCCAGGTCTGGCGAGAGACCTTGGGTCCAAGCAGGGCAGCCATTCTCGATTTCAGGGAAATCTACTAAAACTGTGGAAGATGAGAGGTCAGGGAATGGGGAAACTTGCATGGGCCTAGGCTCAGTGTTAGCTGGGCACTCTACAGCCTCATTTGCTTTTTTTTTTTTTTTTTTGAGTTGGAGTCTCACTCTGACACCCAGACTGGAGTGCAGTAGCACATTCCTGGCCACCGCAGCCTCAACCTGCTGGGCTCCGGCGATCCTTCCGCCTCAGCCTTCCAAGTAGCCGGAACTATAGGCGCATGCTACCATGCCTGGCTAGTTTTTTATTTATTGTAGAGATGAGGTCTCGCCAAGTTCTCCAGGCGAGTCTCGAAGTCATGGGCTCAGGCAGTCCACTTGCCTGGTTCTCCCAAAGTGCTGGGATTACAGGCTGAACCACCGAACCCAGCCCTCATTTGCTTCTTACCAGGCACATGTCTCACAAGTCCCTACACACAGGGCAAGCAGCCTCTCTGTCCTTACCTCTGCCTCCCCAGAATTCTCTGGGACCTGCGGCTGCTGGACCTCAACATGTTTGTTAAAGCTTGGCAAATTGAGGCAAGCAAGAGACAGACTATCTTCCCCTTTTATTGTGCCCATCATAGTTCTTATCCCCTCCCCCTGTAGGGAGCACTCAGTGGCCAAGCTTCCGCTGTGCCCCAGAGCCCTGGGCGTTTGCTGGGTGAATCTGAGGTGTTGAAATCTAAGCAGCCTCAGATTTTGCCCACCTGCCCTTCTCCCCCTCCAAATGCAGGTCCTTCAGGAAGTTAATTACCAGAATTAGAGCAAGGAGAAAGCTGTTTAACACCTGCAGGCACTGGACACTGGGTCTTCCTGCTTCTGCCCCTCAGCATGGTGGCACAGGTTGTGGGTTGGCCAACCTAGCCCAAGGCCCCGGAGATCCCCACCCCAGCCCTTCCATCCAGGCTTTCCCAGTGAGCTTCAGCCTAGCTCTAACCGACTCCACACATCCCCTCCTGAACCACAGCCAACTTCAGGCATTCAACCTGTGCTGCCTCTTGAAGAATTAACAGCAGACTTCAAGTTGGGATGGGAGAAAAAGGGTCCTGCCTCCCTGGCCCTGCCCCTTCTTTTCTTCCCTGCTGCCTTCTCTCTGCATACCCTGGCCACCTAGGTGTCCTTTGGGGAAGTCCTGTCACCCAAGATCTCCCTGCTCCCCATCCTCATTCCTTCGAACCCTCTGCCCCTAGCTCCAGCCCAGACTTCGAGAATTCCCAGATATTTAGACATTCATTTTATTGCTTAATCGAGCTTGAAGGCGTTTAAATTAATACAAGTTTTTACATTTGGCAGCAGAGACTTTGATAGGCCCCTTTAGCAGGGGAAGAAAGAGGTCAGGAGAGAATCAAAGGAATTTGTCCTGGGCCATTGCCATCCTGACGCAGGAGCAGATCAGCCACCACCAGGGCCAAGACCCCAAGGCTTCCCTCCAAGGAGCAGTGCCGGGGGTGGGGTCATGCGGAGGAGGCTCGGAGCCCTTGAGCCCTGTGGGATTCCCGAGGGTTCTGGGATTGCGAGTTGTCACTCATCGCCCTTTGTGTAGACACAGTTCCGCCCACACTCTGCCTCGCCTGTCCTCTCCTGCCTGGTTTCATGCAGCCACTTTAATTACCTTCATTAAACATGAATTCTTCCCTCAGCTCTTCCGAGAAGAGCTGTCTCCCTCTCCCCAGGGCTTACCTTGCCCCCTGAGGGCCTGCCTGTCTTCCCAGGCAGAACTGGGGGTGGGCACCAAAGGGGAGTGGAGTCCCCCAGAGTTCTGCCTGCTTCTCATCTAGCTCCTGACCCCCAACTGTGCACGTGGTCGCTTTCTCCCTCCCTATCCCTTCCTCCCTCCCTCTCTCTTTCTCCCTATCTCCCTCCCTCTCTCTCCCTTTCTTCCTCATTCCCAGCTAAGGAGAGTCCCATTGCCCCAGTAGCTTTCTGCTACAAGGAACAGAGAGGGCATAGTTGTGAGGTTGCTTCATCTGATGCATCCATCAAGGGTAATGAGGGTTTCACAGCACAGGGGCTCCTATAGGCTTGTACTCTTTCCTTACTCCAGCTGCTACTGCCACATGGTATGAACATGGCAGTGGTTGCCCAGGTGTGCGAGTCTATGGCCTCAGGGCTGCTGTCCTCCCCGCCCACCTGGCCTCTGCAGGCTGATGCCATGTCTCTGTCGCAGGTGGAGGTGGAGGTGGAGAGCATGGACAAGGCTGGCAACTTCATCGGCTGGCTGCACATCGACAGTGCCAACCTGTCCGTCCTGCTGGTAGAGCACGCGCTCTCCAAGGTCCACTTCACTGCTGAGCGCAGCTCCTACTACAAGTCCCTGCTATCCGCCGAGGAGGCCGCCAAGCAGAAGAAAGAGAAGGTAGGCACATGGAGCCCAGCCCTGTCGCCCTGCCTTTCCCCTCCCTACGCCCTGAGCTGCTGCCTCCAGAGAAAAGGTAGAAGTGGTTCTATCCCCCACCACGTGGCCCAGGAAGATGCCACTCTAGAGTGCATCCACTCTAGAGTGCCACCACTCTAGGGCCACATACAGTCCAGGGAGGGGTTGCTGGCCGAGGTGGGCCAGGGCTGCCAGCCTAGGGGGTCACCAGTGATTCCCAGGCCTGCTCAGGCGGACGTAGAGCATAAAGCTTTCTCGAAGGTGACCTTGGAGTCGTGGGACAAATGCCGGGCGTTTCTCCCTCCCCAGGCCTGACCCTTCTCCATCAGTGCACCCTTAGAGGGACTGGGTAGCCCCCAGCCCACGAGTGAATTTCCTTCACATCGGCAGGTGGGGACCCAGCCCCAGGAAATGCATGCAGCTGTTAAGATGCAGATTCACAGCCTATCAGCTCTGCAGACACTGCACTGAGGAGACGAGGGAGTGGGTCAGAAAGCAGCTTTTGGAAACCAACTGACAATTTAGAAATCCAGTGGTTTGATGGTGGGAGCCAGACTCGGCACCCCCGCCTGTCGCTGTTGACTTAGAGCCCGGCCTTGATCATGGGAATAAATCAGCCAGCCACTAATTTGTCAGGGCTTCTCCAAGCTTGAGGAGGATTTCGTGGGGCAGCCATGCTGAGCCATAAATTTGTTCCAGGAATAAACGTTTCCTTCCCCATGGGGCAGCCATTTGGCTCAAAACTCACTTTCTAGAGCCAAGGTCCTGCCAAAAAGAGTGGGGGGCTCCAAGGCCCCAAAAGCACCACATTCTTCTCCAGCCCAGAGTAGCTGTCTCTTCCCCTAAGGCCTTTCTTCCTTCCTTAGGGACTGTCCTCCTGGACCTCTCTTTCTTCTGTCCTTCCCACCCCTGGGTATTAGGGTAGGCACCAGCCCTTTGGTGGTGGACGAGAATGGGGATGGAAGGACTCCAGGCAGAGATGGACTGTCCACACCTAGAAGAGGCTTCCACAGTCAACTCTGTCCTCCATGGTGGGGGAACAGACAGCCTTGGCTTCCTTAGGAAAGGAGTCACATGGCTTCTTCCTGGATATCCTGCTTATGACAGCTGAACTTAAAACTGCCACCCCCATGTCCTCTGCCTGCTGCAGGGAGCTTAGAAGAGAGGCAGTGCTGGACCCTCTGTTTAAAGGGCTGAACCTTCCAGAAGAGTTAGCAGTAGGAGGTCAGAGTGTCAAACATGAGGGTCCAAGGCCCAGCTGTGGAAAGCCTCTTTGCCCCTGGCTCCTAACCTCCACAGATCTGAGCCACCCTCTGACTCTGAGACTAGGAACCCTGAGGGACCCAGGTAGCACGGGGAGGGGAATCTGGCCTGAGTGGTGAGGGGAGGGGGGGTTCCTCTCCAGGTGCTGAACTGGGCATTATGATTGACTGCGGTAGGTTTGTTTCAGAGCCCAAGTCACCATTTCACTAGTGCCATTTGACGTCCAGGAGTGATTAATTACTTAATTAATGAATTACATGGGCTTTGTATTTCCATTCCAGCCCAGTCAGAATGCAGTGCACAGCTCTCAGTGTTAGGGCTGCTGCCTCCTGGGTCCCTCTCCTGCAAATCCTTGCCCTGTTCAAGGATCTTAAGGAGCCAAGGCTGGCTTTCCTCCTCCTGGCAGGGCTGCTTCCTGGCACAGCACTGGCAGAGCTTCGTTGCAGCCCTCAGTGTTGGCTGGATCTGGATGAGAGCATTTGGTGGCTAGCTGGGGGACAGAAACCTGTGTATCTGAGGTATACCCACCCTTGCCCCGCTTGTGACTCCATGAGGGCTGCCTTACCTGTTGAGAGACCGGGGTTGAAAGATCCTGTTCACATCAGGATGTGTGAATGTGTGAACCAACCAGCCAACCAGGGAGATTTGGTGAGATGAGGAGTATGCAGTCTTCAGGGAGTGTGATTGCATGTGTCTGTCCGGGGCAACCTGACGAGGCTGGTTTCCCAGCTACCAGGGCTCAGCTGCCTCCCTGCTGGACTTCATTCCTCCCTGTGCCCTGTGGACCCCTCCTCGGTAAAGGCACTGGGAAGACCCTCCTTTTCCTCTGCAGGAGGTAATTCCAACTACCCCCTTGGAGGCCCAGGGCAGACCTCAGGACCAAGCAGGGTCCGCAGATGGCAGAAGCCTGACCCTCTTTCTCCACATCCCCCACCCACACACCTGCCTAGCAGGGCTCTGGACAAAGCTGGATTGGCCATTGACTGGCTTTTATTGAGCTTGACTTGCCTGCTGCAGGCTCGAAGGCCGACTGACACCATGCTGGCCTCGTGCCAGCCCCACCCCGGATTTAGGAAGGAAAGACTCCAGCCAGTGGATCCTCAGTCCATGTTCCCCATCTCCTGCCAGGAGGAGGACCTGGGGCTCCCCAAGGAGGAAGTGCAGAGAAGAGGGAAGGCAAGGATGGAGAGGATAGAAAGAGAGACAGCCTCTGCTTCTGACCTGGCCTTGCCGGGGTCTGGCAAAGTAGGCTTCTTCCTTGGGACAGCCGCAGCAACAGGGGGACAAGAGACATCCCAGTGTGTAGAGGGGCCCCAGCAAGACAGGAACTTGCATGGCAGACCAGCCTGGGGCAGGTGAGGGGGAGTTGCCTCCCTCCCCCATTCCCGATCTGTAGCCAGCCCTGGAGGGGTGCCTGCAGCACCCTGCCTCAGGCCAGAGCGGCATGCTGGCCCAGTCTAGAAGCAGGAGAGAAGCTCCCCAACCCGACACAGACCTACCATGAGTCAGCCAGGACAGCCTCCTCAGTAGCGCAGCTCGGAGGTGGTCCAAGAGCATCAGCAGACTGCTCCGCAAGGGGTCTCCCAGCATCTCTGGGCCCTGTTGCTCAGACCATACTCCAGACCCAGCCTCTCCCTCTGCCAAGAGTCTGGGGCAAAGCCATGAGGCACCAACTTTCTGTGTCTGTGTGCACAATGACCGTTCCCTCTGGAAAGGGTCTTTGGATTTTCCTGTCTCCTCAGAGGTCCAGGGCGAGGATTATCCACTGTGGGGGTTCCCAGAAACAAGCTTCTTGCAGGGGTCTGTGCTATGGGGCCCTGAGGAGGGCCGAGGGAAAGTGGCATGTATCTGGCAGGTGTCTGGGCAATGTGTGTCTCCTCCCTGCACTGGCTCTACAGAAGGGAACGTAAGTCAACATGAGCAGAATGCACCCTTGTTCTGTGGAGGACATGGGCCACCATCCCAGCTGTCTCTTTCCCACCAAGGAGCTGCCAGGCTAAGCTATGTTTACCACCTTGCCTGGGGCCCTCAGCTGCCACATCTAGGAACAGTGGATCACCTCCATCCCCAGGGAAAGAGGGAACCTTCATGGCTCCACTGCCTGGTGGCCCAAGTTCAGCCCTTTCTTCCGAACAGCTCCTTCTGGATGCCTCTTGGCCACCTCAGGTGCAGCCACACTGTGTGGACACACTGGCCTCGGTCGTCCTCTCCACTCAGGTGGCAGTGTGCACCCCCACTGCCAAGGGAGCTGTGGGCCTCGGCCAGGAGTCCAGGACTGGCCCCAGGGCCAAGACCAAGGGCCTCTGAGGCTTTGTTTGCTTTCTACATGACCACAGGCTTGTGGCCCACCTGAGCCTGCTGGAAAGGAAGCTCCCCCTCCCCCAGGAGGAAACCTGATGCCGTCGCCCGAGGCACTTTTACTTGAGTAGTCATTAGCAGTTCCTGCTCTCACCCTGTCAGTCTGTTCCCAATTCATCACTGTGACTGAGGAGCCACCTCCCCCACAGCCTAGGGAAGGGAGCAGGTGGGGTTAGGAGGGGAGCCCAGAACAGCTCCCAGACTCGGGGCCTCCTCAGGAACCAGCACAGGGAGCTCATCTCTTTAACAAGCAAAGTGTTGGGAGAAGAAGGAGCTAGAAGAAGAGGGAAGGGCCTGCTGCATGGGCTGGAGGGAAGAGAGAGACCGAGGATTGCAGGGGTGGGTACTGGCAGGGAGAAGGGGGAGACTCCGCTGGGTCAGAGGGCTCAGCTCCTGCTCATTGAAGGTAGTGCTGACAGCCTAGTCTCTCAGAGGCAGAACGAGCCCCATCAATCCTCAGAGCTGCAAGGATCCCAGGGGGGCCATGAGCCCAGGAGTAGCTAGGAAAGGCTGGTGGAGGAGACACTTGCCTGGGAAACTTCCAGCTGGGGAGGCCCAGGAGGAAGGGCTCACCCTTGCCAGTGGGTCCTTGAGGTGTTAGGCCAAGAGTCTCTGTTCTGACTGGAGGCAAAACTGCCTGCCTCCTGTCCTGGTCTACCAGGATTGGGGCTGCTGGGAGCAGCGGTGTATACAGAGGTCTCTGGCTGCTAGTGGTAGTGGGGACAGGTGCTTCTGGAGCCCAGAAGGTGAGAGGGGTCAGAGGCTGTTTGGGAAGGGGCTCTGCCCCAGAGCCAGGGCCACAAGGGCAGCTTCAGAAAGCCCTGCTCCACGTGGGGTAGGGAAAGCTTGGACTTGGAGGTGTCGGCCATTCCCTGACAACCACCCCTTCTAGTGGGAAAATCGCACTCAAAGCATGTTAAAGGCAGAAGTGTGGGCTCTGGGACATGAGCCAAGGTGGTTCCAGCTGCTTCTTGAGCGCCCCCCCCAAATCTCCATATCTGCTGAGAGCCACCAGCTTGGTGATGGTCACAGTAACTACCTGGTTTTATCAGGGAAAAAGAAGGGACCCAGAGAAGGTACATAGTTTGACCAAAGTCCAACAGCAAGATCAAGGACAGTAGGGGCACGAGGCCTTATCCCCCTTCCCCTAGCTTTTCCCACTGCCCAGTGTTGAACCCGAGACTCTAATGAGAGAGATATAGAGACCACAAAGAGCCAGCTCCGATGCAATCACACGA